TGTGTGTGTGTGTGTGAGAGAGAGAGAGAGAGAGAGAGAGAGAGATTTTATGTTTGTGTGTGAGAGAGGGGGAGAGTGTGTGTGTGTGGGAGAGAGGGAGAGGAGAGTGAGTGTGTGTGTGTGTGTGTGTGTGTGTGTGAGAGAGAGAGAGAGAGAGAGAGAGAGAGAGAATGCATAAAGCCATAAATAGTCTCAGATATCATTTGTTTTCATTTCATTTCTGTTGCTGTGATAAAACACCATAACAAAAGCTTCTTGGGTGAAAGGGTTTATTTTAGCTTGCAATTGTAGGTGACAGCTCATCACTGCAGAGAAGTCACAGTGGCAGGAACTTAAGACATCTGGTCACATCACATCCATGGTCAAGAGCAGAGAGAGGTGAATGCATGTGTGCCTGTTTGCTTGCTTGTGCTCAGCTTGACTTTTCCACTCTTAGATAATTCACGACCCCCTGCTTAGGGAGTGGCGCCACCCACAGTAGACTGGGTCTTCCCATCAATTAACTTAAGTAGGACAGTCCCCCTTAGACATGTCCACAGGCCAACTCATTGTGGGCCATCCCTTATTGAAACCCTCTTCTTAAGTGATTCTCTGTTGCATTTTGCTGGCCATTTTTTTAAATTGCATTTTTTAAAGATTTTATTTTATTTATTTATTATGTATACAACATTCTGCTTCCATGTATAACTGCACATCAGAAGAGGCCACCAGATCTCATAATGAATAGTTGTGAGCCGCCATGTGGTTGCTGGGAATTGAACTCAGGACCTCTGGAAGAACAGCCAGTGCTCTTAACCTCTGAGCCATCTCTCCAGCCCTGTATTTTGTTTATTGTGTATATGGGCATGGGCATGAGTTTGAACGCAGAACAACTTATGGAAGTCACTTCTCTCCTTCCACCATGTATGTTCCAGGGACCAAGATGTCAGGCTTTTGTTGCAAGCACCTTTACACACTGAGCCATCTCACCACCCTGAGTAAAGTTAACCTTCCCATCACTCCTCAGTAGCCCTCTGCCTTGTGCATTGTTTTTTTGTTTGTTTGCTTGCTTTTGAGACAGAGCCTCTAAGTGCCTTGGTGCTTGCCATCCAGCTAGATTGGCTGTCCAGTGAACTGCAGGATTCACCTGTCTCAGCCTCCCCAGCTCTGAGGTTACAAACATGCACCACCATGCCCAACTTTCTACATAGACTGGTAGACTGGGGATGAAGCTCAGGTCCTCATGCTTCTATGGCAAGTGCTTGACTGACTGAACCAGCTCCCTGGACTCTGAAACCAATCTTCAAACTGTTTCAGTGTTTCAGTAAAAATGTAATGAGAGGGGAATGAAGCCAGATGGAGCAGGGCATCTGAGTTCCTGCAAGAAGGTCCCCAAGGAAAGAGCATGGAATCGCTCTGCTGTCAGTCTGTCTGCAAGTGACTGCTGGGCCACTCTGTTAACTGAAAGCTGGTGGAAGTGATTTTGACCCAGGGTTGAAAATGAGAGGGCATTTGAGGTGAAAATAAAAGTAAGAGGTTCCTTGCTATATAACTTGATCTATCAGAAACCTGCTGAGTGTCGCTCGCTCATATGGAGCTCACTAAGTGGGGAGCACACAGAGGAAAATGAACAGTAACACTGAGAGAGCTCTGACTGTATACCAGCTGTTGTGATCATATGGTTTGGATTAGAACTGTCCTCCACAGGCTCGTGTATTCGAACACTTGGTCCCCAGTTGGTGGAGGTTGGGGAACCTCTAGGAAGTAGAGCCTTGCCTGAAGAGGTGGGTCAGTGTTTGCCCCTGAGAGCATAGCCTGGCCCCCCTTCCTGTCTCTCTGCTTCTGTGTCCCTGCAGATTCGATGAGCCCCAGCCACAATGCTTTGGCCTCTACCATGCTATCCTGGCCATGATGGACTTCCTCAAACTGTTTCGGGAGC